CTGTTTCATAGACACACAGTAGTTGTATGTATTCCCAGGCTTTAGTGTAACATTTCAATATATTGGAATAAGTATATTTCAATAAACAAAGAAAAATAACTTTTTCTTAATTTTTTTTCTTTATTTAGTGTTGCCTTAAAGAAGATCTAATTCAATGATTCTGAAATGTAGTGGCTGTTAGCACCATCTGGGAAGCTTTAAACATCGTCCCCGGCCACATTCCAGCACAGTTACGGGAAAATCTTTCAAAATAGACCAGATAACATCTTTTTAAAACCCTCTTCTAGATTATCCCAGTGTCCAGTCAAGTTTGGGAAGCCGTGAGGTGTTTTCATTCATGGGTAACTTGGAATTTGGTTAGAGGGCAGCTGGAGTTGGGCCATGTTTTCGTTCTGTGAATGCTGGACTCACCACATTCCTTTAGGCTCATCACCTGCAGTTACTTTCCCAGGAGCCGAGAGCCGGTTGTTCGACCGGTTTTTCAACTCTTGAATGTTAACTCTGATAAGAGAAGAAAGCTGTGAAGTGCCAATGTGGGTGTAAATTAATGCCAGGAGGCTGCCAGCAGACGGTTTATCTAGAGGAAGTGGAATTAGAATAACTAACTGACAAGAATACTGTAATATAAGTGTGTGAAAGAACTCCTGAAGGCCAGGGATGTGGTTAAGTGGCAGAGTGCTTATTTAGAACATTCAAGGCCCTGGCAGCCCCTTCCCCCCTACATAAGCACACACACACACACACACACACACACACACACACACACACACACACGAGGAGAGAGACAGAAGGGTGGGAGAGAGAGAGAGAGAGAGAGATAACCATCCTTCTGAGTCTAACCTATAATATAAGAAAACCAACAAAAGTATACTACAGGGAAAAAAATGGTAATTATATTTTTTCACTTTTTTTAATTTTTGAGATTATAACATAATCACAACAGTTCTCCCTTTCCTTTCCTCCCTCCAAACTCTCCTATGTAATCTTCCTCAGTCTCTCTTTCAAATTCATGGTCTCCTTTTCATTCAGTGTTATTTCATGTGTGTCTGCTCAGTCAGTTTTATTTGCGCGTATGTTTTCAGGGCCGACCATTCGGTGCGAGTAACCAAGGGGTGTGCTCATCCCTGCGGAAGACTCTTTCTCCCACTCCAACATTCTTCAGTCCCCTGGAGTTCACGTGCAGGGTTGAGGCCTCATGGCTTTTCCCTCGTTCACTTTAGCATGACCCTTGGTGTCAGCCTGGTTCAGCTCACATCTGGGCAGTCATGGCGGTGAGACTTTATGCGTGTAGCTTCTGACATTTTACTAAGAGATACACAGTCTCACAGCAAATTCATGAAAAACTTCTGACTTTTGAGGATGTAGTGCAAACTGGAGTTTCATCATTACTGTTCGGTGTAGCTCAATACAGACCGACACACCAGCTCCCGTTGGCCAGCATGCTTGCAGCTCTCAAGTAACTTAAAGAGATAGCCAGAGGGTCCATCTCAGGACTCTTTATACATTTAAAAAAATCACTTCGATATATTAAAACACAGTGTTGTGTGTGACTTATGGAAGGGACTCTGAACACCTACCTGAGCACTCAGCCCAGAAGAGACATCGATGACAAGCCAAAGGCATGACGTCACTCAAGTCTAGCTTGGTGAACCTGTGAGTTTATTGGGGTTGATTACAAGAACGTCGGTGACTCAAAAGCATCACTGGAAAGCCCACCCAGCATGAGCGATGACTCGCTAACTGCATTCTAGGAGGTCCCGTAATAGCAGTCAGACTAACAGCAGTCAGACGCTAGTTCTCCCACAGCCGCTACCTCTGTGTATACAACAGTTAGGGGGCTTGAGAATTGCATGCCTCCCAGTAGGTTCCTGAGCCTCCTAAATTTTGTTTACTCCCTGACTATCATGAACCTCCCTCCTACCCCCCGGGGGAAAATATTTTCATTGGGAGGCCATAGAGCTACACAACACACAGAAGCATCACCCTGGAGGAGAGCTACGACTTTCGGGCTTCATGAGTGTCTTTCCTCCACATTTTCCATTCGTGGCCTTATGTGCACGGATACACAATCTCTCCTCATTTAAAAATGTAGGTGCTGTATGAGGGGACTGCCTCATTCCTTAGCAATTTTTTTTTTCCTTTTTCCATTGCCTGGTTTAATTCTTATTCCCATCTCAAGGCAAGAAAAGTACTTGGAAGCAGTAATCTTGTACTTCCTTCAGATACACACACTCTAACTAGGATTCTCCCAATTTTCCTGAAAAGAGGAAACAAACATAGTTCTCCTTGCTGCTTCAAAGGAGCGGAAAAAGGAGCCCGGGACTTTTACAATTTTATACATGCATGTAATGTATTCTTATTACTCTGTTCCCCACGCCCTCTCTGAAATCCCGCCCCCCCCCCCAATTCCTATCTCCTCCCTGTCCCTACCAACCTTTCTCAGGTTCATGACTTCTGACTTTTTTTATTTTTGAAATTATGATATAAACACACTATTTCTCCTTCCCCTCTCCTCCTTCCAAACCTGCTTATATACCCTTCCATGCTTGCTTTCCAATTCATGGCCTCTTTTCTCATTTATTGTTGTGGCATATATATGTATATATGTATATATGCGTGTATGTATATATATATATGTATATATGTATATATGCGTGTATGTATATATACATATATATTCCTAAATGTAACCTACTCAGTTTGTATAAATCTTACTTGTGTGTATGTTCTCAGAGCTGAGCATCTGTGATGTATTAATCAGGGACGTCTGTGTGACCAATAGATGGGTTTATTCATTGGAGCCCAACAGAGTTACCAGTTTGTATACAAATGAAGACAATGATTTCCCTCCTCCTTGAATGAATCATTCAGTAGCAAATGGCTTAGCAGTGAGGATTAGGGCCCCCAGACCCTTGCTCCACCCATGCCTAACTGTTAAAGGGCCCTATCTTGTACTGAAATTGTGCAAGCATCTGCAGCTGCTGTGAATTTGTGGTATGTTTCCCATCATGTTCATGGACCACTAGCATCAGAATGACTGAGAGATTTTGTTGCTGAAGTTTTCCTGTGTCCCATCTGGCCTGAGGTCAGAACAAATCTCTCTCACCTGCCAGTCCTGCAGCCACTTGGACCTAAGTAAACACACAGAGGTTTATATTAATTAAAACTGCTCGGCCATTAGCTCAGGCCTACCATTGACTAGCTCTTACATTTAAACTAACTCATATTTCTTATTTATGTTTAGCCATGTGCCCTGGTACATTTACTCAGTTCTGCCTTCACATCTTGCTTCCTCTGTGTCTGGCTGGCGACTCCTGACTCAGCCTTCCTGTTCCCAGAATTCTCCTCTTTGCTTATCCTGACTATACTTCCTGCCTGGCTACTGGCCAATCAGCACTTTATTTATTAACCAATCAAAGCAACACATTCACAGCATACAGAGCGATATCCACAGCAGGATTTGCTAAAAGTCAGTGTTCAAAGACTAACTCCAAACCCATGGAGACTAAGTCTGAGAGAATAGGTCAGAACCTTGATCTGCAGATGATTCTCATCTACATACAGCTATGACTCCTGGGTGATTACATCACTGTACCTCCAGGGAAGCACACTATGGAGATAAGCAGTTTGGTTTGTTCCTCAAAACCTCCTATCACCTTGTTACTGGCAATTAGTAATACTAAGTACTTCCTGATTAAGTATAGAAACAGAACAGAGGCTTATAGTCATATAAGAAGATACTTTGCAGGTCAGTTAGGAACAAGCATATAAACATAATAGAAATGAGGCTCTACTGCTTATCAGTGCTTGACCAGGGTCAGGAATGCTTCAAAATTCCCAAAGATACCAAAGAAATATTACTGTCTTATTTCATTGTGAAGGATAACAGAGTTTAAAGTACTTAAAGCTATTTTCATCTGAAGCAATCAAGAATAATAAATGTGGAGTAGCAGTGGCCAGCCACACCAGGCTTCTAATCAGCCAGACTCCATCCTGATATCAGAATGTCTTTTTTACCATGCCATTCAGTTTTTCTTGCCAGAGCAGAAATTCCCACAGTTGTGATCATTTTGCTAAGCAGAAAGGAAAACAGTATTATTGAGTAAAACAAATAGCTGTTATCAAGGATGGACTAAAACTTACACATACAAGCTTTTTCTCCTATTGGCTAGTGTTTTCCATGAACCTCAGCATAGGCTAATGTGGCATAGGCCCTGACCATGAATATCAACAAGCTTAGCCATATATGCACACATGGGAACATATGTATGCATATTATATGGGTGAACTGGAGGGAGATCTATAAAGATACAAGAACATAAATTCTGAAGCCCGTTTTAGTGATCTGTTCTTGTTTTTTTCTGATTCTCTCCTAGAAGTGCTTCAAGTCAAAGGCCTCTTTCTGAGATAAGAGATGCTAACAACCAAAAGATGCTGGCGTTCCAAAGGAAATGTCCTAGTTAACAACGCTGTTCCCTAAGACTTTAACCGCTTCAACCCCACCCCTGTGATCTGTGGTCTATAGACTTGGAGATATGATCGCCTAGGGGAGGATTTAAAGTGGACACGGAGGAATCCTTTTCAGTTCAAGTGCAGGAAGCTGAGGACTGGGCATTCCCAAGGAGTTCAAGAATAGTCAGGCTACACAGTGAGTTCCAGAGCTACAGCATGACACCCTTTCTCAAATAAATATTCTTTTCAGAAGAATTTCATTAAATCACATGATTAAACACCAAATTTATTTGTTTCTTCATGCTTGAACATCCATGGAAAGGAAATAAAGAATATTATTTGGAGAGGGTCACAGCACCCAAGTGCCTCTTATTTCTGTTTTGGAGGAAAGGGATACGGGTGTGAGGGCAGATGGAGACCTCACTAGGCAGTTGTGGGGTTGGAGCCAAACACATCAAAAAAAGAATCCGGTCTATGGCCAAGGGTAAAGAAGAGGCGCCAAGGCTGTGTTTGAATAGGTGGAGAGTCATGAGGTCTAAGGGCGGAAAGGAGACCCAGAGAGGAAGCTGGAATCCTCAGCTATCCTGGCCTCAGGCTGCTCCTCTAGTCTGTGACTCGCTCAGGCCACACCCAGTGCCTGCACCACCCGTGGTTTTCTGAGCGTAGCTGGAGTTTTCCTTTGAGAACTGGAGAAACGAGGACGTATGAATGACCCCCTCGCCGGGGACAAGCCCGGGAGATCCCGGGGGCGCGCCGGGTGCACTTCGCGCGCCGGGGGGTGTGGGCCACCCTTGGATCCCCCGGCCCCGGATCCCGCCCTGGCTGGGACCGACGGGGACCTTTCAGCAGCAAGTGGGGACGTGAGATCGCGAACGCGAGAGAATCTGGATTGCCAGTCCTGGGTCAGAGAGAAAGTGCTCTTTCTTCTGCATCCCCAGAGGTGGTTGGGAACACCAGCGGACCCTGCTTGCGCAGAGCTGGAGGATAGCGAGGACTTTCCCCCGAGGGTTGGAGACCACCGCGATTCCGAACCGGACCCGAAGCTTTCCCGCAGGCGCATTGCCACGGCTCCCAGATTCCAGCCCGGGGACCCCGCAGCCACACCCAAGTCGGTGCTGGTGCGGGTCGTGGATTACCAGGTGACGCAGGAGGTGCTGCAGACAGCGTGGACCAAGGGGCGTATGACTACGAGGACCGAGGAGCGCTCGGTGACCGCGGTCACCTTTCGCACCCAGAGTGAGTGACACAGTTTGTGGGACCCCGGGGCCCCGGCAGAACCTGGATCTACCCCACCTTGCTACGGGAGGATAATTCTTCGTCAAGGAGCCGAACCTGAGAAATTTTCCAGGGCTGTGAATGCGAGAAAATGCTCGAAGAACCAACTCCAAGCAGCCTTGGACTTCCTCGGTGGCTCCAGTGTCTCACAGTCGTTTAAGAGAACCAAAGGTATTTTTACATTGGCGGTAGACGGGAGTTTGAAAGCGCAAAGCCTTAGTTCACTTGTTGGCGTTTTAGGAAGTAATTCCTATTGCTTGTCTGCGTTTCTCTTTTCCTGTTGAGCACCCCAAAGCGGAAGTAAAGTTTGAAGTCCGCTCTCTAGGATGTGTGTGGTGTGTGAAGTGGGTTCAGAGAGGTTTGCTTTGAAAGCCTTAAGAACTTTTGTTGCTGTTGTTGTTTAATATATAGAAGAAGAAAAGAAAGAAAGAAACAGGAAGTGAAGCAAAACGTTCCTAGGAACTCTGTATTGGTGTGTAGCTTATACCCTGTCCTTCGTATTTCCGTGTTAAGAAGAAAAGGAGTAAGGGAAAGAAAGATCAGGGTGGGAGGGTGGGTTTTTTGGGAGGAGGGGACTGGCCTGAGCCTTGAGGGTAAGATGCAATTTAACAGGGCTTTATCCCAGAGGACATCTAATCCAGTTTCCTGGTTAATAAGTAAGGTAGATATTCTGTATGCAATATGTCATAAATGGTTGTATGCCCTATTCTTATTTTTTTAATTAAATTTATTTATTTTACATCCCGACCGCAGTTTCCTCTCCCTCCTCTCCTCCCATTACCCCCGCCCACCATCCACTCCACCTCTGCTTCTGTTCAGAAAGAAATATGCCCTATTCTTATCCATAGTTTTTAACAACTAAGATTTTCTAATTAAGACTGAATTGACAATAACTCTGCTGCTTTTTAAAGTCTAGTTTTATTTTTATTATCTTCAATTAGATGTACGTGTACGTGGTTATGTATGTGCATGTGAGTGCTGGTGGATAGGTGCCTGGAGGCCAGAGCTCCTTGGGACTAGTGCTATAGGAAATTGAGAATTGTGGAATTGAGTGTTGGGCACCAAACTTGGTCCTCTGCAAGAGAAGTCTGCACTCTTGACCACTGAGGCCCCTCTGCAAACCCTTCCCTGTGTTTAAAATGATCTAAGGCTAACACTTGGTCTTTTAATATGTAATCCCTTTGTCACAGACATTATCATTAAAAAAACTTCATTATTTTATTTATGTGTTTTGCTTGTGCATACATCTGTGCATCGCTAGTGTGCCTGCTGCTCTTACAAGTCGGCATTGGATCCACAGGAATTGGAGTCAGAGATGGTTGTGAGCCACTGTCTGGGTGCTGGGTATTGAACCTGGGTCTTTTGCAAGAGCAGCAGGTGCTTGTAACCACTGAGGCCTATCTCCAGCTCCACATCATTATTGTTTTTAGTGCTGGGACTTAGTTTGGAGCTCCGAGGAGCAAAACAAAGCTCTTAGAAAGAGGTTGAGGGGCAGAGGGCTTGACTTGACCCTAGGAGAGGGGTGTTAGGTAACAGATGGGTAACAGAGGAGAGGGGCTCTGCTTTGGGGGTGAAGCTTGAACAGCTGCTCTTGTCCCAGTCCTTTCAGCTGTATTCAGTTAGAGCTTTGAATAGCTTTCAAGCCATCATCTTATCCACCTCTTCTATTCTGCCTGGCCAGAGAGCATCCTTTTACAGATGAGCTAAGCTGGGCCTCGAGGTCACATAGCTTGTGGAAATCATAAGCAATTGCTTGCATATGCTTACTTAGTAGACAAGAAACGTGATCATCTCCCTCCTGAAGATTCATGGATGAAGTTTGCTGGGTCTTACTTCTGGGAATCTATATAGGCTCAGCCAGGAGAAGTTGAGTTCTAGGCCAGCCTGCTACACAGGGAGACCCTGTCTCAAAAGTGGGTATCTGAGGGCACCATGGGTTTCTAAGGCAGGTTTAGGAAAAATATCAGAGTAGAATCCCTGCATCCTGTAAGGCCTGTTCACTGAGGTTCACCCCTGGCACTTCTCAGGCCTGGGAGAGCTTCCCTTGAGGAAGGAAGGACATTAGTCCTTGAGCTTATTCACAGATCTGTTGAGTAGTTGGAAAAAGTGATGTTAGCCCACCAATAGATTCTCCTTTTCCAGAAATTCTTCGTGGCTTCTTTGTAAGGTTAATCATGACTGGTAAGTGGCCGCTCTGCGCTTGTTGGCTTGGTCCTAGGAGACTGACACTGAATGGAGACAAGAAAAACAACCCTCTTTTGCAATGACCCAGAACAGTAGCATCCTTCAGCTCTCAGAAGGCAGGCTCTGGGGTTTTGTGGCTCATACCAACCCTTTGTTAGCTAGTAACCTTGGGCAAGGTGCCTAATCTCTATGTCTGTACTTGTTAAGTGGGGATAACAAATGCTGAGCTTTCTGGGTAGGATTTTGTTAAAATCCTTAGAATACTGCCTGGCATGTAATACATGCTCAACAACAACTCCTAGGAGGACTAGTGTAGTTGTTATCATTTAACAGACTTTTCTCCTAACCAGGACTCAGTTTTTTTATTTAATAATATAGTATAGAAGTAAAAAACAAAACAAACAACAATAAATAATGAAAACTGAACTAGTAGATTTTACTAAGGTTTTACTAAGACTAGTAGATTTTACTAAGACTGTGACCCTCTCCTATATTCCTGAAAGACTTATTATTAGCCTTTCCCATCATTAATGGATCATTATGTACATTTTCCAGATTTCTTAGAAATTATTTCTACATCATGTGGGAAGCCTCAGCTAAGGCTAGAGGACCATAATCACTGACCATAGTCACTACATTGAGTGAATGGAGTGATTGAAAAGCTTTCCTTGCCTCCTTGGCAGGTTGAAGCTTTGAATATATATACAGGGTCTTGCGTCTTGCTATGTAGTCTTGATTGGCCTGGGAATCTTTATGTAAATCAGACAGACTTCAGATCTGCCTGCCTCCCGAGTGCTGGGACTAAAGGCATGTGCCATCACTCTCCAGATTGAAAAACCATTTTTAAGCTACTTTGCTAACCCCCTGCCCACAGTTAGCTATCTGCAACATGTTTACAGGTTTAAGACAGATGTCACATTGAAAGCAGAAAGTAGTTGCTGAACTGTCTTGATTTGCCTTACAGGTGAAGAACACTTTCCATTTTACAAGTGTCTCGGGAAGAGCATCTGAACTTGTCTCCAGTACTAAGGAATCTCTCAGGATGACCGGGTCTCCACTCTTTGACTTAATCTCTACCTCACAGAAAAACAAGTTCATCTAAAATTGTCTTTGTTAGATAAATTGCATCAAAGACTCCCAGATGCCCATCTGAGCATGTTATGACTGAAACAAATGTCAAAGCCACATAACCAGCACCGATCAGGCTAGTGTCTACCTCTTTTTTTAATTAATATGTATTTTTAATTTTTTTGAGACAGTGTCTCACTGTGTATCCCAGGCTTACTTTGGACTTGGTGTCTAGCCTGCGGTGATTGAACTTGAAATCTTCCTCAGCGTCTCACACACTGGGATGACAGTGTGTGCCAGAATGCCTGACTGCCACCTCTTTTTAACCCATTTTTCCACACCTGTTACTACCTGTGATTACCTGTGATATTCATTATATTTGACGTGCTGTTGTATTGAGGGGCCTTACCAGCTCATGTTAATAAAGCTCACTGTGATTCTTTTCTTCCTAAGATTTTAAAATTTTACATGTATTTTGTTTATGACCATATGCCTGCATGTGTGGATGTGTACATTGTATGTGCCAGCGGCCTACAGAGAGCAAAAGAAGGTATTAGATTCCCTAAAACTGGAGTGTAGGTGGTTGTGAGCCTCCATGTGGGTAATGGAAATTAAACCCAGGTCCTCAGTAAGAGCCACAAGTGTTCTTAACCATTGAGCCATTTATCCAGGCCTGAAAGTGCTTAGAAGATGCTTAGAAGAAGAAAGAATAAGCCTTATTTTCAAAATAAATTCTTGGGGCCCAGTGTAGCATAAGCCTTTAATTGCAGCAATCTAGAGGCCTAGAGGTGGGAGGATCTGGGATCCTAAGGCCAGCAGGGATACATATAGTGAAACCCTGTAATAAAACAAAGCAGAAAAAGAAAAGAAATAAGAAAGAAAATGAGAAAATGTTTGCTCATCTAGAAAAAAAAATATTAAAGAAATATTATGAGGTTAATAAAATAGATTAAAAGACAACAGAAATCCCCCCATGATCCCACATCTCTTTTAATATTTAGTATCACTTAAATGTGTTTTAATTCTCTTTTTATGTATATACTTAGGTTGACACAGAACATACAGTTTTCACCTCAATGGGAATAAAAGACAGTCCATTCTAAAACCAAACATGGGTGACCATGGTCCAGGAATCCAGTGATACAGGTTATGCCAAAACCCATGTGCCAATGTGATTTCATGACATTCTTATAATATCAGAACATCACAATAGTTCTTAAATCCACAGGCTTTTTAAACACACTGGTAGAAACATCAGGTAGATGGGTACAGCAAAGAGGGAAACTTCTGTTAAAGGTCTCAGATGCAATCTGCCTTTGTGTTGGTGGAATCCAAGAGTCTATATACTCCACAGATGTTAGATCACACAGAGAGGTGAGCTTACATAACCCAAGATACATTGGGTCTTGACCTGCAACATTCAAACTCTGCATAATCATTCAAGTTATAATCAGTTAATTAATTAGTTAATCAGCAACATAGAATGTTTAACTCAAAGTGTGGCTTTCATGTATTAGTTTCAGCTAATGCAAACTTATGCATTTATTTTATTATAAGCATAAATTATTAAAAAAAAATGGTCCTGGTGTAACCCCTGTGTATTTTCTGAGTAATGCTTTTATGTAAGTGTCCTGGTTGGTTAGCTGGGTAGTGTGAGAAAAAATGAAGCTTTTCCTCTACTGAGTCTCTTTTTTGTCATAAAGTTTAATCACAGCAGCAGAAAGGAACCAGAATGATAATCTCCCATACAGGCTGTTGTCAGTGGTAAGCTTTCATGCAGGCTGTTGTCAATGGTAAGCTCCCATACAGGCTGTTGACAGTGGTAAGCTCACATACAGGCTGGTGTCAGTGGTAAGCAAGCTCCCATACAGGCTGTTGTCAATAGTAAACTCCCATACACACTGTTATAAGTGGTAAGCTCCCATACAGGCTGTTGTCAATGATAAGCTCCCATACAGGCTGTTGTCAGTGGTAAGCTCCCATACAGGCTGGTGTCACTGATAATCTAGCTCAAGGGGTCCCCCAAGGAGAGAAGAGCAGAGTCTCAACTTCCTTCTGAGTCAGAGCACCCAGATCCCTGGGTGATTCACATTAAAGTTTCACAAGTGTCAACCTATCCCTCAGGTTTACTTCAACATATCAGTCACTTACTAGAATTAAAAATATAATTTTTTAAAAAAATTATCATTTATTGTTAACAATGCCTGGGCAATAACAATGTGGAGGATTATAAAACTAGTGTTTATAAAAAAAAAGTATAACAATACAGTTCATAAGGGATTTTTAAGTTGGAAAAAAAATTGTGTCTTTTTAAACAGCCATATTATTCTATAATTGTCCCTAGTGAACTATTGATTGATTGATTATTGTCTCTCTTAACTGAGAATGAGTCTTTGATTATCAAAGAATGTGAACTGGTTTCTTGTCAGAAGCCCCTTGGGGGAGGAAGGGCAGGAAGTCATTAAGAACAGCACAGTGGCAGACCTCTGCAGCTGAGTCACCGCTTGTCAGTCACTCATGATGAATTATGAGGGAGTGGGGAAAAGGTGGGGCTTGAATTTCAATCAACTGATTCAGGTAAGAAAACAGGCTGGGACTCTGGAACACCCTGAAATCTCTGTAGCCACGGCCAGTACTTTGCTCTTTAATTAGACAGGGTGACTCTTTATGAATTTACTGCTCTAAATAATCTCACAAATGGAGATAAGGAAAGGAAAAGTCCAGATTACTTGGAGCAGCAGAAGGAGTATGGTCAGGTTATGGGCACTGTTCCAGCCAATAGTTCCCAATAGAATAAGAACAGTTTATGCTCAGAACAAGGAAGTGAATTTAAAATCAGAATCTGACTTCACAGCTTAAGAGAGAATATTGGAGGGCCTGAGAGAGGATTGCTCAGTAGCTCAGAGTACTCATTGCTGCATCTGAGTTGGGTTCCCTGTATCCTTGTTGGGTATCCCACAGCCACTTGTAACTCTAGCTCCAGGGGCTCCAGCACCTTCTTCTGCTCCTCAGGCACTAGCACAAATGAGACATACACCACACATGAGACATACAGTCACACCTATGCACATATGTAAAAATTAAAATCTTAAAAAACAGAAAGAGGTTGTAATGATGTTAAGGGAGTTGGCTAGCATCTCTCAGGCTGGCTGCAAGCAATAACACCCAGGTAGTAGGAAAATTTTACTTGCTTACTTAGCTTGACTAAGGGCCCATGAGTCATTTCTGTGAAATGGAGTCATTGAGGAAGAGAGGACCCTGAATTCTCTTTCTCTGTGTGGGAGAATAGAAGCTGCTGGGAGATACTCTGTTACACTGTGTAAAGATATGCCACTGTGATTGGTTTCATAAAAAGCTAAATAACCTATAGCCAGGCAGGATTTTGGGGCCAGAGAGGATGCTGGGAAGAAGAAGACAGAGTTGCCAGCCAGATGCGGGGGAAGCAGGAAAGCAGCATGGGCAGTACAGAGTAAAGGTAATAAAGTACGAGGAAGAAAGTAAATTAATAGGAATGGGTTAATTGAAGTTATAAGAGCTAGTTAGAAACAAGCCTAAGCTACTGGCAGAGCTTTCATAATTAATAAGTCTCTGTGTCGTTTTTTTGGGAGCTGGGTGGTGGGGGAAAGACTGGATACAAGAAACCTAAATTCCCTAATTGTCAGGTAACAAACACGGATGGCCCAATCACGTTGGCCAACCTGCCTCCAATAATACCCTTCAGTACATTCTCACCACTTTAAAAACTCCTGCCATGGCGCTCAAAGGAACTCAGTTTATTCTCCTTCCCGAACATAAAAATCTCCAATAAAGTCTCCATTTGTTTGAATCTGTCTGGGCAAAATTTCTTTAACAGGGAAGTGGAAACAGAGAAAAGGGAAAGGCTTGAGACTTACTGCTTTCAAATCTTGGCATCAGAATTCGGGGAGGGGGCTGTCTAGAAAGACAACTTCTCATCACGGGGATTTAAATCAGGGAGGGACTGAGTGGCAAGGTGGACACATCGGAAAGCAGGCAGTTACTGAGTAAGCTTGCCATTAGGGACAGACGGCAGCAGAGGCTGAGCAGCATTCTGTCAGCATTGTAGCAATTCTCTAAGATTAAATTTAATGAAAGCTACGTAGTGCCTGTCATATAATAAACACCTAAATTAGCTATTATTATCATCATCATCGCAATCAGTCATGGGGCTCATGTTTACTTCCCTCTTCATTCTAATCAACTGTAATTTTTATTTGTTTATTATTTTGTATGTGTGTCTCTGTGGGGGTAATGTGCACTTAAGTGCAGGTGGCTTTGAAGGACTCTGGAACCCCTTGAGTTGGCGTTATAGGCAGTTGTAAGCCACCCAACAAAGATGCTGGGAACCGGATTCAGGTCCACATCAAGAGTAGTCTCCTCCGTTCTTAAGCATTGAGCAAGCTAGCCAGCATCCCAAGCTGTACTTTCTAAGGACAAAAAGCAGAATACTTGCAACAGTTTCTGCAGAGATCCCTTTCCATCTGTTTTCAAGTATCTCCATGTAAGATCTGGCTGCTGTCACATGGACTCAACCTTGGCCTGGGGGCGTGGCCTAGCACAATGCTTGCCTGACATGTCTGAGGCCCTGAATTGGATCCTCAGTACATCAACTAACTCCAGTAAATAAACTGACTATGGATCCAGTCTTCTACTAATTTTGAGTTTTGCATGTCTTGGAGATTAAACAAGCATTGCAAATATAAAACATGCTGCCTGCTATGGAGTTACGTATCCATCCCTCTTTGATTAAGAAGAAGTGTGAGGATTCTGGGAGTTAGAAAGATTTTGTCACAGAATAATAACAAGGCTGTAAAATAATTAAGGCTGGGCTAGACTTAATGCTGACCCAGATCCTCGAAGTTACAAGGACTCAGGTGACAGGGACTCTCCATCCCAATGTGGAGGAAAATTCAAAGGCCTAAGTGAAATAATCTTATAATAAAATTCTCTTCGGGGATTATGTTGGAGTAGAAGAAAGGAATCAGCAACCCACATTCAGGGTTGAGCCAAGGTTTAAGCAATGGGGATGGAGAATTGTCCTGAGAAATAAACAGAGGCATTCAAAACTGATGATAAATCAGGCTAAAGGTTCGTCTGCTTTTTATTATCATCATGTGTTTAGATATAAAACACTTCTGTTTTTAAAAAGTTATTGATCTGATTTTTACTTATTTTAAAAATTTAAGTCATTAAAAACTTGCTAATAAATAATAAGTAAAAACATCACACATCAAAACTAACCAGACCTGAAGTCTACACAACTCAGTGTATATGATAACCCGGAAATGTGAAATCTAATGCAAAGCTCTGCAGCTTCCATTCAGAAGGCCGAGTCTGGTGGTGGCTGCTGCTTGAATTTTAATCATGCAGATGTAAACTTTAAAGTATCATGTTTTAATTTCCCTTTGAGAGACCTCCACACCAGTTCCCCCTC